ATTCGCACCGATAGGTAAGAGGAGGATTCAGGTGCAGAGTTGGGGGAAGACGAAGAGGTAAGCACGGAGGAGTGCTCTTAGCAAGAAGGGAAGATCGTGCGTAGGTGCAAAGCGGGAAGCGAGCTTACGCGGCATGCAAAAATTCAAAATGGTCGTGCGTGCCTTAATAGTAGTTAATACGAACGAAATTTGAATGCCGGCCACAATAATTCCTAAATGATTCTTGGATTTCTCCATGCAGTTGCTAACCGTCCACGTGGAGAACTAACAAGGACAGGGGCAATTCCGAAAGATGCATGCTTTTAGTCCCCAAAATTGAAAAACGGACCCTGCTTTTCTTGATCAACTAAAATCCGTGCTTCGGGGCCTACTTCAGATTTTACTCCGAAGGGTACGTGAAGCCACTAGGTACGTATCCTAGCTTATCACAAGCTAGGGGAAGGACGATAGGATGTGTCCGTGGGCGCCAGCTTGCCTCACTCTGGGGTCCGTACCTCACTCTAGGGTCCGTACCTGCTTATCAGGGGTCTGTACCTGCTTATCAGGCAGACCCTCTCATCCTGAAATAGGATCTAGTGGGAGATTGCTTGAGCCTGGTGTCCGGTACGACAAGACAAGGCTCGTTTGATTCCGCTTCCACCAGGGATGGATCATGGCTAGCCTCGGTGACTGTCAAGGCTGGGAGATTGCTTGAGCCCAGCGTCCGTAGTTCCGGTACGATTCCGGTATGACAAGATAAGGCTCATTCTATTCCGCTTCCACCAGGGCTCTATCATGGCTATCATGGCTAGCCTCGGTGCCTGTCAAGGCTGTTTGGTCCAAGTTGCCCTCGATACTGGTAGGGTAATGGTCCAGAGTGCTGGTCGCACTGAGGTAGGATAGTTGCCATAGGGGGTGCACTAGCAGTATTGACACGAGGATGTGATGGGAGGCGGCCTCCTTTTCTCAGAACAGCAATGGCCGACCGCTCCAGGTAATCACCGTGGGCCTAACAACTGGCCTCTACAACACCCTGGAGTTGTTAAAAAAAAAAAAAAAAAAAAAAAAAGAAGAAGAAGAAGAAGAAGAAGAAGAAACCAAGAGGGCCTCCCATCTACGCAATGGGGGGTAGTGAAGTAGATGGGAGGCCCTCTTAGTAACAATTACCAGTAAGAAAGAGCGAAACGATTTGAACTGACTCTGGCCCCTACTAGACTCTCCAAGAAGCCCTCTTAGTTTTTTTTTTTCTTTTCTTTTTCTTTTTTTTTTTACCCCTCTTAGTTTCAATTACCAGTCTATCGCCCACCTGCAGGTCGGGAGCAGCATGTTCTCTCGTGAACACGGTTCAGGCTGCTACGGGGTTCCCCGTATGCCTACAATTAGGAGTAGCGGTAGGTAGGTAGTGTGAGGTGAAATTGAGAGAAGAACATAGCTTTTTTATATATTTAAAAAAAAAAGAAAAAAGAGAAACGAAGTAGACACCGCTTCATGCTGCCAGAATGCACTTTTCGAGAGCTCTGCACTTTTCGAGAGCTCTCAATAGTCTATACGTGAGATCTACGACCATGGACGTGAGAGATCTACGACCGGCTATGTGTGAGATCTACGACCGTCAATGCGTGAGAACCTACGACCGAAATCACACTAAGCATTTCATCTGTCTATGCGTGAGATCTGCGATCGTGCGGCCGCCAGTCGGTGGAAGAGATCTACGTGAGCGAGACTGTGGACCTCGCTCCACTACTCTCCAAACGTGCAAAACGAGAAAGAATCTTCCGCTAGAAGATGGAAAGATACACGGCCATAGTTTTTGGCTTTTATGCATGTGCACAGTAGTGGAGCGAGGTCCTGTGTGTCTGTGTCTATGGGCCACGTCACATCATTATGCATGTGGACAGTAGTGGAGCGAGGCCCAGTGTGTCTGTGAATATGGGCCACGTCACATCACTGTCGAAACGAGAAGAGAACGAATCCAAATTCCACGGACAGACGTAAGATGCATCCTTTGTTATTTATAGTATTGGATTGGATGCATCTTGCCACTCTCTGCGTGAAGATGCACTACCGGTAGTACTTTTTTCGTTTCGACAGTGGTGTGGAGAGGCCCTGTGTGTGTGTGTGTGTGTGGGGGGGGGGGGGGGGGGGGAGGGGGAGATTCAGTTACATTCGGATTTCTAAGGCTGCATGGCGCGCATCGCACCCGTGAATATCAAGTTGCCGATCAAACGGTCAAGAAGGCCCTATCTGAGCGATTTCAGATTTCGCAGAGGGTTCCCAACCCCACAATTGTGTCAAAATGTCCTGAATCATCCTGAACAAAATTCCCACAATTATACCTTTCTCGGTCTTTTGGCTAAGATCAAGTGAAATGTATCTGTTCTGATCAGTTTAATATCTGATCCGTGGTCCAGCAGGCTACCAAAAAAAAAAAAAAAAAAAAAAAATCCCACAATAAAGACGGGAGACGAGGAGGAGGAATAGTAAGAGGAAGAAGAAGAGGAGGAAGAGGAATAGGAAGAGGAAGAGGAATAGGAAGAGGAAGAGGAACCGCGATGGTTAAACGATGGAACAGTCGATCAGAGGATCGTCGAACACATGACGTTCCCTAAACATCTGAAGACCTACATACACACATATACATGTATGCTATACATCGTCATATACGTAATCACGCATACATGATACTGAATCCAAGAGGAGGAAGAGGAAGAGCGACAGCTAAATGATGGAACAATCGATGAGAGGATCGTCGAGCCCATGACGTTCCCTAAACATCTGCAGACCTACATACACACATATACATGTAAACATATATATCGTCATATACGCAATCACGCATATATACGTTCACACATGATACTGAATCCATTGTTCTTCACCCCCCCCGCATATACACATTTTCATGCTAGTTATGCAAGGCACATGTACAAATAAATAGCTGCATCTGAGCCCATGTGGCTGAATAGTACACAGATGTAAATGCTGATGAACAGACCATAAGTTTTCCATTCGTAATATCAGCCTTGGGCACTGGGCCCGGATATTAAAAAAAAAAAAAAAAAAAAAAAAAGTTCGAATCCTGCTGAAAAAAGATGGACACAGTGACTTTAGGGGATACACAGTTTACAAGATAATAATACCTAATAATAGCAACAAGAAAAATTAGAAAAAGAACTGCACCTACATTCATATATCCTTATATATGTAATTTGCAATCATAGACAAATGATTGTGACGTAGCTTTCTTGGGTTCGTTTGGGGGGGGTCCTGGCGGTTGAGGGCGGTGTGCACCGGCAGTCTGTGCTATACAATCCTGCGTACCGCGTGAGAGGGTAGGTGATAGAATGCTCGGATTTTGGTATTTTTTTGTCGAGGCAGATTGCCGCTTGACGCATCGATAGGGATCCCTACAGACTGTTCAGATCAATTACATATATTCTACACATACATGTAGAAACACAGCAGAGAGAGAGAGAGAGATGGATGCAGGGAGACAGAGAGAGAGAGAGAGAGAGAGAGAGAGAGAGAGAGAGAGAGAGAGAGAGAGAGAGAGAGATGATGCGGAGAGAGAGAGAGATGGATGCGGGGGCGGGGAGAGAGAGAGCGAGAGAGAGAGAGAGAGGCAGAGGGCCTAAGTCTCTCGCTGCGGGTAAGAGAGAGAGAGAGAGAGAGAGAGAGAGAGAGAGAGAGAGAGAGAGAGAGAGAGAGACATGCAATATTAGACAAAACGTGCGAGACTTTACTTTCACAGAATACACGTCCTGCCCATGGCATGCCACGAAAAAATCCGTCGCGATTACCCTTCTACCTCTCTGCTCAGGTAATCATTTCAGCCACTGTCTCTGAATATATACCCTATCATCCTTGTCCTTCCCCACCTACTTGTCCTCGTTCCCTGCCGTGTGCTCATCATCGTTGTCGCTGTGTTTTCCGTGGTCGCGCTCCGTATTGTCCTTCACGTCGTTGATTTCCCGTAGTCGTCGATTTTCCATCTTTCAGCATATAATCTCCTGGTCCAGTGCTTCTGTCTGTTTCTAGATTTCCGTACTCATACATTTTGCGGTTTCCCCTTTGGCCGTATTTCTGTCTTAGGCGCTGATCCCACAGGACTTCAAACCTAAGAGAACCTGGAAAGTCGGGGCCGGACCGTTAGGGTCGTGATACAAAAACGGGACCCAACAGTGCCGTCGAAAAAGGAGCTCTCACGATAGTACCGCCGCTTTTATGTGGGCGCCTGCGGTCCTCCGAAAAGACAGACAGTCCGTTTGGTCCAGCTACGGCCTTTGAGCGACGGACCCGTTGGAAGAGGACATCAAAAAAAAAAAAAAAAAAAAAAAAAAAAAAACTTCACAATCGTCTTAGCTGCAGAGACCGTGCTCGGCTCTCTTGCAAATAGAGACAATTTATCGCGGAATGGAATCCGCACGAACTGCCACGACACCCAACCTCCGAAACGGCCTCCGACGGGGCCGCCACTCCCTGCGACTGCAGAAAGAAGTGGGATCCCGTGAAAATGCAAAAAGTACTTGACGTAAGTACTGTCGGATCAGAAGCTTACTCTTCCGTATTTATATCTTTGCTGGATTACTAACTTTCAGCCGATTTTGCTTGTGTTTTTGTTTTCGTTTTTGTTTTCGTTTTTGTTTTCCATGCGGCCGTGGGTTTCATCCTTATATTTCAGGTGAGTACTTTCGTTTTCTTTTCTTTTGTAGTGTCGCTTGTTTACCCTGCACTTGGAAACGTATGTATTCCCTGGGTTTTGATTCGTTTTGTTTCTCTGCGTATGTATTACCTGGATTTTGATTCGATTTGTTTCTCTGCCTATGTTGGGAAACCAATACGGTAATTCTTGCATCATTATATCTGTATATTTATTTATTTATGGCCGGGCGTTCTATTCGGGTGAAGACGCTAGCCGTTGACTTAAGAAAAGAAAAGAAAAGAAAAAAAATGAAAAAATGGGACTTGCCCATGGGATCATGATGTACGACGACTACGACTGGCCATTTCTGGGCACTTACATTTTAGGAAACTTAGATCCTGGAGCCAAGCGCAGGCACTAAGGTTGAGCCGGACTAGAGACGTTGAGACCGCCTCTAAATGCCTTAAGCTTTTAGGAGACGGATAGATTAGCCCGGCACAACCGGAGAGATCCACGTGGCACGGCCTCCAGAAAGCCCTTGCAAAAGCCTGTAGTACACTCAAACTGACCCGCTCAGGTCGCTTGACAACTTCGCGCCATACCATCAGCCCGATTTCTGGCGGGAGGATGTCCAATTGCCACGTGAACTTGTCCACGTGGCATGCAACGACAGCACTGCTGAGATCTACAAGCGACAATACGTGCCCCCCCATCACGGTCGTGATTGACGGCAATCTCTCTGAAGATGATGCCTCTCGACCGGCGATCAACCCCGCGGCCGCCTCCGCCTCCTCCTGCTCCTCCTCCTCCTCCTCCTCCTCCTCCCCTCTTCGTATGTGCGCTCTCCCTCTGTAAGGCATCCATTCGGATCGTGCACCTCCTGCTCTGGCCAAGGACGTGAACCCCACGACGTCAGCACGGTACGCGCGCTTCCATTTCACGCGCTGATTTTCTTCCCTCGTGCCGGCTACCCCGGCGGGACCTTCGTCGTGCCATCCCTTTCCCGCCACAGTTCTCTTTCCGCCATAGTTCCTCATGACCTCCAAATTCTTTTGAATTTACTTTCCCGCCAGATCCGTTAGAAGCAATTTGCCGCGGGACTGTCTCTTTTCCCGCTACTTTCCATAAGCCACGATTTCTCGCCACATTATTCTTGCTGACGGCGCTTTGTTCGACATCCCATACTTCTCCCGGAAAAAAAAAAAAAAAAATTCCCTCCCTTGCCGAGGAACGGGCTACATCGTTCGTTATCAACCCGGGGCTAGGTCCCGCTTACACGAACTAAGAGATATTGACCGTAGATAGCAAAGATCAACGGCCGAAATTTCCTAATCCGTGCAAGTGGGACCTTGCCCCCGGCGTGACCTGGCTTTCTGCCACCTCACCTTGTTCACGGATAAATACAAGGGGGGCGCATCAGACCACGCAGGATGACCCTGCACCGGAGTGGGTCCCACCGTTCCGGTACCAGACGCCGAGTTGTGCCTCCTCCCGAGAGGGGAACCCCCCCCGGACGCGATCAGCACCTGGCAGGTGGGGGCGTGTTGCCTAATCGGCCCCACCTGGGAGGGGGAAGGATCAGTCGCATGAGGCCGGCACTTACTATTTTCGTCTGAAAAAAAAGGGATAATCTGTGAAATACCTCTATAAGTTGAGATATCTGCCAAAATGCCCCTGAATACAGCCGGACGCCCAGCTTGCTGCAGGCTCCTGGGTCCGAGCCGTGGACCAGCCTAACCAAGTGCTACAGATCCTTGGCCCTGACCTGGGGCCAGGTCCCACTAGCAGCGTCGAGTTTCCTCAAGGCCTGAATCTGGACGTGTCTGTGGATTTTCTCACCCGCACATCTCCACGAACGCGTCCAGATTCAGGCGTTGAGGAAATGGTAGTGGGACCTGGCCCCTGGTGTCAGGAATGAGAGTCCAGGGCTGGACTTTCCCAATTGTGGGGAAAAAGCCAGCTTATCTAGCCAAGGTTCAGGAAGAACAATGGATGGAGCACACTCCAGACCTAGAGGAGGTAAGAGTTCTGAGACAGGATACCCCCCAACATGGGTGTAAGGCTAAATGATGTTACTGAGAGAGGAGGCCCTCTTCAGGGTGGAGCCCCTGCTTTTTGGATGGGACAGGGTGGACGAAGGAAACATTTATACTCCCTTGATCTCCTACAAGGCTAAGGTGGGAGTTCAACAACAGCATTCCCCTCTTCAAAAGACTGCAACCTCATTGGCCGTAATTCGGGCTGAGCGTCAACAGATACCCGGAGTGACAATTGTAAGCATGCAAAAATTTGGAAAGCATTAAAGAAAGCCCCAATCCAAAAGAACGCTAGCATTATGTGGTCACAGTCCCTAATGGTGACAGCTACAGCAATGTGGCTGGCGTCTAAAGGGATGGAAGTTCCCACCCAATGCCTGCGTTGCAATTGGGGTTGGGAAAATATGGCCCATCTTTGGATGTTATGTCCTTCGTAGACGAACTGTTGATGTGGTGGAAGAGGCACTGGGACGCAATGACAGTCGGGGATTTTGAGTGGTCAGACCCTTGGATGCTAATGGGCCTACTTCAACAAGGATTGAGCTATACATCAGGATGGGGATACATGGCACTTTGCTGTAGAGGGATCCGGATGGATGTGATATGGTCAGCCCGGAATGCCAGGGTCTTTAGAGGTGAAGTCACTGCCAGGCCCCAACAGCAGCAGCAAGTGAAACAGGCTATTCGCAGGTTAATTCGAGCAGATTGGCACCGAAAAAATGTGATCTGGTTTCAAAAGACATGGGCTCTGAACAGTAGGTTTGCCACTGTCTCCCAAGAAGGGCATCTCTCCTTATGTACCTGCCTCTCTGACACTCATGATTGAGAGCCCGCAGATTGTCATGGGCCGCGAAGCCCAGGAAGTGGTAGTGTGGGTATGCCCTCGAGGGCGCAGTGGGACCGGGAGCGCTGCACCCCGCTCGAGCACCATTGGAGCGGACACGGCGCGACGCAGGAGCTAACGGAGGATCAGGCGACGCGGTGGGCAGATGGGGGCAGTGGGCGTAAGATTTGACAGCGGGAGGGTAGAGACGATGTGGCGTGACTTGGTGTGGCCTGCCTTTTGAAAGCACAGGGGTGACATCTCCGGCTTCACGCTTTACCTAGTGATGTTGCAGGCCAGCACGCTGGATGAAGGGAAGACTGTCCTTGCATGGGGGCGAGTCTTCATGAGATTCTCAGCATATTGGTTGCCTTTGCTTCTCTGCCTGCATGGTTTTGTGGAGGAGGGTCGGTTGATGCAGGCGGACAGGGAGGAGCGCGTCCTCACGTGGAGTGGGAGGAGGATTGGAGGCGACATCTAGTCCGATTTTTGAAGAAGGGCGAAGCGGTATCGGCGGCAGCTGTGTTTTCGTCATGAGGGCATCCGGAGTGCGAGGGTGCTGTCGTCGAATTTTTGTTTGTATCTTTAGTATGAGTTTGGTTCTTCTTTGGATAGACCCTCTCGCTGATCATATGGGTATGATGGTTGGATCACTTCTGGTAAGTTGGTAATTATGATTGTTGAAAATCTCATTTCTGGTTCTTACACATCCTTCTTTTTTTACTGTCTGAGCGATTTCTTTTCTCAATTGATGGTCGATTCGTTTTTCTGTTTTACTGTCCTTTCTGTTGATTTGTCGGCGGCCTAGTATTTCCCATTTATTGTCTGAGTGAGTTTTCCCTATTGATTGTTGATTCGTTTTTACAATTTTCCTACCTTATTTTTTCGTGTCATATAGCTTTGCTAACGTTTTTCAAACCACAGTTTGGGATCCTGATTCGAAAATCCTTTATGGATATCTAATCCTAAATTTCGTACGATCTTTCGCAAATTTCGTCATTCCAATTTGGATAATCAATTCCTATCGGATCTTCAAGTTATCTTCAATCACAATTTAACTCTGATTGATTTTTCAAGCATTCTTTTCAAATAATTTTCTTCCTGAACAATTCATCTTTGTATGTTTTGGTGAAGCAAAAAGGGGAGGGTTGAATTAGAGGTAGGTGGGAAGTGGGGGGTAGAAGGATCGGCAACATAGAGTGGTAAGTCTAACTAGGAGGGTGGGGTGGGACGACATTGGCCGGTGTTGGAGCATTTGCTCTGTGACCACGGGGGGCTTGAGGCCATTGGAGTTATGTCGAGGGTGCAAGGCATAACCATCTCGCCCGATGTAGTTGTTGTCGGGGCGGTGACCCTGTAACCTTTTGGAGGGGCTATACAATTAATAGAGGTGTCGAGGGGGGAAGGCACTCTCTGTCCGTCAGAAACAGTTAGATCAGTACTGAGGCAGTTTGTGTTGCCTTGTAACCCTAGCTGGGGGGTATGAGATCTAATGATTTCTGGTACGAGGACTGAAAGCTTGCTCGACGTATCTTTCATTAGTGACGAGGGTAGGAGTTGGATTGTAGTTCTTGACCTTCCTCCTTTTGGTTTTTTCATATGGAGGGAGAAAATCGGAAGTAAGGTTTGAAAGTAATTTTGGGGGGGCTCGCGCAATAGGGGAATGGTGACTCAGGGTGGTAAGTCTACTTGTTACATGCACAGATATGTGATGTTCGTAATAACCGAGGAACTGCAGTGTGATAAAAAAGACTGAAATGGACAATGCGGTGAGAGTAGAATCTCGACAGACAATGTGCATTCTCATACATACAAAAGTGCTGAATAGCGCAGGGAAGACTTAGATACAAAGACTGACCTGACAAGGACTGACCTCACACACGTAGTACAAGTAGCGAAGCAGAATGCTAGAATACCAATCACGAGCCCAATCAATGTTTGAACTCAGACTAAACATGCATCGTATCCCTCACCAGGTGTGAAGGAGCCTGGCGCTGCACACAGGGAAAAAGCGCCAGGTCCAGACATACACAGACGAAGAGGTAAGGACCAGACGAAAGGAGGGGGGAGAGATGGGAGTGTCGTTAACACCAAGTCTTGGTCACCAATCCCAAATAACCCCTCGTTGCCATGTCTGAAGTCCCCAAA